CCACTGCCTCATTAGCCTGATGCTAGTGGGGAATCTGGGCATTCCGGTGAGGAGGCTAGAACAACCAATCTCATTTGGCCAGTTAGATGGGTCCATAGCAGGGGGGAGGTGCCAGCTACCCTAGCCACTTTACCAGTCCACCTATCCCTGGGAAACCATGAGGAAGACATAACGTTTGTAGTGACCCCAGGCATGGAATGCCCAATGATCCTAGGGCTGGAATGGTTAAAGAAATGGAACCCCTGGGTAAATTGGAGGATGGCAGAAATCAATTTCCCGAAGGGGGACCCTACGGACTTAAAACCCCAAGGGGATCTACCAAAATTAAGAACGGAAAAAGCATCCATGGGAGAGGAAAAGGGGCTGCCCGAAATACCAGAGGAATACAGAGATCTTGCTGAAGTTTTCAGTGAGGAGAGGGCGGATGAGCTCCCCCCCCCCCACCGACCCATGGACTGTGCCATAGAATTCAAGCCTGGGGCAAAACTCCCGAAGCCCAGACTATACTCCATGAACCCAAAGGAGAAGGAGGAAATGGAAAGATTCATAAAGAAAAACCTAGAAAGGGGGTTCATCGAACCTGCCAAGCCTAAAGTGGCTGCCCCGGTCCTCTTTAGAGAGAAGGACGGCTCTTTACGCTTATGCATGGACTACTGCCTATTGAATACAATCAGTGAAAGCAACCTATACCCCCTGCCCCTCATGAAGGACATGTTATCACACCTCTCGAAAGGAAGAATTTTTACTAAACTAGATCTAAGGGAAGCGTATTACCACGTTAGAATTAAGAAAGGGGATGAATGGAAAACCGCATTTAATTGCCCAATGGGGTGCTACCAATTCAAAGTTTTGCCATTTGGATTACAAGGGGGTCCCGCAGTATTTATGCAATTAATCAACGAGGTACTAAGGGAGCACCTATTTAAGGGGGTCCTGGTTTATTTAGACGACATCCTTATCTTCACCGAATCCAAAGAGGCACATGTCAACCTAGTCAGAGCGGTTTTAAAGAAACTCTGAGCTGCCCACCTATATGCCAAACTATCGAAATGCGAATTCCACCAGGAAAGAATAGACTACCTGGGTTATCGCATATCCCCACAGGTCATTGAGATGGACCCAGAGAAGGTCAGAGCAGTATTAGAATGGGCACCAACTCGCACAAGAAAGCAGCTGCCAAGTTTCCTGGGCTTTGTAAACTTTTATCACCAATTCATGCCCTCATTTGCCCAGATAGCCCTGCCCCTCACGAACTTACTAAAAACGAAGGGAGAATCTTCAGTGAAACCTAGCCAGCCACTAAATTGGACAATGGAATGCCAAGCGGCATTTGAGAGATTAAAGAGACTCTTTTTTGCCGAACCAGTACTGAGGCATCCAGACATGGATAAGCCCTTCGTAATACAGGCGGATGCAAGTGATGTGGCAGTGCGGGCTGTACTATTACAAGAAAACAATGAAGGGGTATTGCAACCCTGCGCGTATACGTCCAAGAAACTCACTGAAACGGAACAGCGCTGGCCCGTGTGGGAGAAAGAGGCATATGGGATACGTTGGTCATTACTTACGTGGCGACAATTCCTTGAAGGGAATAAAATACCTTTTCAGGTGTGGACAGACCACAAAAACCTGGAAGCCTTGAAAACACCCAGGAAGCTCAACCCCAAGCAAGCCCGCTGGTCCCAACATTTTCACTAATTCCACTTTACGCTCAAGCACTTGCTGGGGGGAAAGAACTTCCTGGCAGATGCACTATTTCGCATGCCCCAATATAACAGCATGCGAGCCACCGACTCTAAACTGATGATGGTAGAATCACAACTGGCAGCTCCAGTAACCACCAGAGCCCAAAAGGACATAGAAAGTTACGTGGCGAGCTGCCCAATGTGCGCAACTGCAAAGAGGTTGCAAGGGAAATCGCCCGGACTGTTACATACAGTGGCAAATCCCTCAGCCCCCTCGAGGGAAATAGCCATGGATTTTATAGTGGAATTACCAGAAAGCAATGGGAATACTGTTGTCTGGATGGTCACGGACTTGTTTTCGAAACAGGTGCACTTTATCCCTTGCCAAAAGATTCCCACCGCAAAAGCCTTAGCGAAACTTTTCATGCAGCATATTTACAGATTGCATGGGGCACCCTAACGCATCATATCTGATAGGGGAGTGCAATTTACATCTGCGTTTTGGAAGGAATTTTTATCCCTTTTAGGGACCACTCAGGGACTGACATCTAGTCATCATCCTCAAGAGAACGGTCAAGCAGAGAAATCTAACTCAGTACTGGAGCAATATTTAAGATGCTTTATTAATTTCCAGCAGTTGAATTGGACGGACCTACTCCCTTTCGCAGAAGTTGCCTACAATAATGCAGTCCACTCCAGCACAGGTTACACTCCTTTTCAAATAGCTACCGTTCAAAGTTTCAACCCCATGCCAGAACTAATCCCAAACGAACCGGCAATTCCATCACTGAAAGAATGGATAGAACAATTACAAAACACCTGGCCAATAGTTAGAAAAGCCCTAGACAAAGCTAGGCAAGCATACAAAGCACAAGCAGATAAAAAAAAGAGTTGAACCCACACCATTCATTATAGGAGAAATGGTATATTTGTCTACAAAATACCTAAAATCCCTACAACCCTGTAAAAAACCTGGACCAAAATATATAGGACCTTTTCCAATTAAAAGAATCATAAACCCAGTAACAGTAGAATTAGAATTACCCAAAAATCTCAGGCAAATACACCCAATTTTTCACTGCAGTTTGCTGAAAAGAGAACAACAGTCACCCTTACGGCCAAAAATTTCCCCCACCACCACCTCCAATCATGGTGGAAGGAGAACAACACTTCGAAATAAAGGAAATCCTAGACTCTAGGAGATATCATGGGACAACTCAATACCTAGTAGCATGGAAACACCTCCCCTCCTCACAGAACAAGTGGGTCCATAAACGTCATGTCAGAGCGCCGAAGCTATTAAATAAGTTTCATACAGAGTATCCTAACAAGCCAGACTAACTTTTATACCTGTTTTGTTTTCTTTACAGGTGGATCTCTCTTATTTTTAAGGGGGGCAGGATGTCAGAATCCAGTTATATTTCATTTCTATCTATCTATTCTGATATAAAACCAATTCTTACTCTCTCCTGGATCCTGTCATACTACTAAGGGGGAGGGGGTATACATGGGGTTTTTTATTACTTTCACTTCCTCTATTCACTACAAAGTAACCTTTTGTTGATTCGGTTCGGGTCTGCTAACCATAACAATGTAGCCATTTGCCTTTCATCCTATGCCCCTCTGAACTTTTCCTCCTTACCGGCCAGCGAGAGAAAGGGGGGGGGGAGATGCAGCCTCCAGGATCTGTGTGAGGAGATGTTGAATGATCGTGCCAACGGAGCCAGATTGATGTTATCTCTCCTGGAGTTAACACCTAGAAATCTGCTGGTTTGAATCGCCCGGAAGAACTACGGGGTGGGGGTCTGCTTAGGGACACTTTAAAACATCGAATTGTAAGGGAATCCCTCAGATCCTGTCTATCATGCCTGCTATCAACTTCTTTTAATAAAAGTTCCTGTTGGAAGAAACCGTTTCCAAGAGTTCTGTATCTTAAAAGGGCTTCAGTTAAAACGTGTTTGTTATCTTGTGCAACTGTTTTAATTTATCAGCATATGTTTGATATTTAATGCTTCTATCGTGAATATTTGGCAAAGATTTATACCAACATTTATTTGGCATTAAAGGCATACAAAAATAGTACGTTATGGTCTTAGTAATTAAATTATTAATAGTAACCAGGGCAGCAATTCTGTGGTCCCTGAGAAAGAGATTTTATTTCAGAGGGGAAATTTGATGTCAGAAACAGTCTCCAGTACAGTCCAACAGAAAGGTCTGAGTGTGGCTGTTTCTGAAACTGGACAGGCAAAAGGAATTACACTGGAAAAGGATTATAAAAGGAGATTAATGCTAGTCTACATGGGATGGCAAAGTGTTTCCCCAGACAAAGTAAAGGGGCTCGTCCTGAGGTGATTTTCTTAAGTTCATGGCAATTCTCAAGTTTCATTGCTAGAACTGTTCTGTATAGCCAGTATTTGGAAAGAAAAAAACAAAACAAAAACATAATGTCCTTTTTTGGACCAGGATTTGATTTATTTATTGTTTTAGTACTTAAAGTGGATGAAATATTGAGAGATTTATGAGAAATGAATTCCGTTTGAGATAATTTGAAGAAATTAGGAGGAGGAATATAGTAAGGTAGTCCTTGACTTATGACTATAGTTGGAACTGTCCAACTGTCCATTGTCATACAGTTGTTAAGTGAGTTGTATCTGATTTTAAGACCTTTTTTACTGTGGTTGTTAAGCCAATCTGGCTCTCCCCCCCCCCCCCGTTGACTTTTCTTGTCAGAAGCCCCTTTGGTCAGCACAAATGGTGATCATGTGACTCAGAATGCTGCAACCGTCATAAAGACAATTGTGAAGCACCTACATTCTGATCACGTGACCACGGAGATGTGACCATAGGGATGTGTCATAGTTGGAAGTGCGAGGACCAGTTGTAAGTCACTTTTTTCAGCACCACCATAACTTTGAACTGTTATTAAACAAATGGCCCTAAGTTGACGATGACCTGTGGCATAAGTCTCTGGAGATTCTCAGTCATCCAGGTCATGGTTGTCCCAAAGGTGCTTTTTTCAAGAGGCAACTGGACTTTGTTTTTCCTTAAAGATGTTTCACTTCTCATCCAAGAAGCTTCTTCAGCTCTGACTGGATGAGAAGCTTCTTCAGCTCCAAGTGGCCTCAGCTGTCTGCAAGGAGTATAAATCCTTCCATTCCCCACCATCCAGTCAGAGCTGAAGAAGCTTCTTGGATGAGAAGCGAAACGTCTTCAAAGAGAAACAAGGAAGTCCAGCTGCCTCTTGAAAAAAGCACCTTTGGGACACCTGTGGTATAACTTAATGACAAACGAGATAAATGCTTTCTTTCTTTTCAGAAGCTAACTGTTCTTACTTCAAATTCTTCACCACTGGGGAGAATGCCAACATCTTCCTAAGGACTACAAAAAAGGGTAAGACATCCCAGGCGTTCAGGTTGAAGTGTTGTGTGGCAGGAAGGAAAGGAGCTACAGTCCGTGTGTCAGTCAACAGCTTCTGCATCCCATACTTTTGAAATTAGAAAGGTTTTTGGTGCATATGCTGATTCAAGGAGGTTTGGAGAGGGGCTGTCTGAATTGATGAGGGGGCTTCACCACAGTCGTCTTCAAACCCGCCATTAAGGACAAAGCATCACGTTTCCGTTGTTGTAAGGGATCTCTCTTGTTGAATCGGCCATGTATTATCCACCAATCATGCTGAATCATGCTGAATAGAGGGGGAAAGGAGCAAGCCATCTCGCCACCTTGCAAAGCAGTGTTTCTCAATCTCAATGAATTTAAGACGTATGGACTTCAGTGTCCAGAATTCCCCAGCCAGCGTGGGCTGATGGGGGAATTCTGAGCGTTGAAGTCCATACATCTTAAAGTTGCTAAGTGAGAAATCCTGCTTTAAATGATTGACACAATCCTAACCTGCTACTCTAACATGGGTGGAACATGCAGTGTTCTCTCTATTCAAACCAGAATTTGAGTATGAGCTACTGGTAACATTTACATTTTCCGAGCCTGTGGTCGGAGACTGGATGAACGTTGCCCAGTTCAACTGGATCCAAGGCTGGCCTGTTGAAGAACAGACACACCACTATCTTTTTTCAAAACCAGTAGAACCATCCCGCTTCTCAAAGACACATTTATCCCTGCACATGCTTCATCCTCAGAGGTCTCAAGCAACCAGGAAGAGCGGGGATTTATTACACAGTTGGCCACACCCACAGCTACAAGGACCATGTCCATTTTCTCAGGAATTTAATAATCCAGTTACAAATTATGTTGAAATCAACATGGCTGTAGTCATGCTAACAAGAATTATGACTTGGTGGTCAACACGTGAAGAGGGAAGCAGCTACTTTAGATCAACGTTTCTCACCCTTGGTAACTTTAAGATGTGTGGACTTCAACTCCCAGAATTCCCCAGGCTGAAATCCATGCATCTTAAAGTTGCCAAGGTTGAAAAACACTGCTCTAGATATAATAATAATAATAATGATAAAGTTGGAAGGGACCTTGGAGGTCATCCAGTCCAACCCCCTGCTCAGGCAGGAAACCCTATACCATTTTGGACAAATGGCTGTCCAGTTTCTTCTTAAAAACTTCCAGTGTTGGTGCATTCACCGCTTCTGGAGGCAGATTGTTCCACTGGTTAATTGTTCTAACTGTCAGGAAGTTTCTCCTTAGTTCTAGGTTGCTTCTCTCTTTGGTTAGCTTCCACCCGTTGCTCCTTGTCCTGCCTTCAGGCGCTTTGGAAAATAGCTTGACTCCCTCTTCTTTGTGGCAGCCCCTGAGATATTGGAACACTGCTATCATGTCCCCCCTCGTCCTTATCCTGCCAGTATGCCCGTTTTCCTCTGTGGAATGTTGGGTGGAATGAAATTACTTTTTCTCCCCTGCTTGGCAACACTGCATAGAACTGAACATCACGGCAGCCGTTGTGTCCCTCCTCAGCATCACCTTGATGGCCATGGGATCCCTCTGCATCACAATGGTCCTGAGCAAAGGAGTTGAGTTCCTCCTGAAGCCAGCATCGTGTTTCTTTATAATATCAGGTATGAATTCTGCAGAGCCTTCTTTTCTTTCCTGAAGTAGATGGGGTGGAAGGAATGGGGGGGGGAATATTCTTTTAACCATGACATTCCTTAAAACAGAGGTGTCCAAGGGGAACATCCTACACCAGTGATTTGTAAACTTGTCAACTTTAGGGCATGTGGACTTCAACTTCCAGAATGTCCTAGGGAAGTCCACACATCTTAAAGATGCCACATTTGAAAAACACTGCCCTACACTGTCTTCTTGTCAGGCACAAAGAATCAGGAGCATTCGCAATGTTGCCACATAGAAGATTTATTCAAAACTACAGACAAGAATCTAGTCAACTAACGGTCAGCACAAAATTGGCACTAAATAAGGGTCAATGAAATTCATGGGCTGGACTTGGATCTTTTGTGGTGATGCAAGAATTATAAATTGATTACATGTTTAACTCCATGCACTAGTTCTGCCTGCTCTTCTCCTACACCCCTCTCTTTTTTGTTTCCCTTCCAGGACTGATGGTGTTGGTGACTTTGGAGATTTTCCGACAATCGGTCCAGTGGCTGATCACCTCCAATGAGACCATCCCACTGGAATATGAGTATTCCTGGTCCGTGGCTTGTGCAGTGTCTGCAGGAGCAATTCTGATCTTTGGGGGAGCCTGCTTCATCCTATTGTCTATCCCAGGTTTGCCCAAAAAGCCTTGGGAATATTGCATCAGAAAGAGAAACACCAGTGAACATACTTCCTAAAAACCTTCAGAGGAAAAATCAAAGTCTCTCTTTCTCTCACTCTACAACCTTTACAGACAGAGGCGGAAAGAATCAATCTTCCCCATTCTACCTCCCACCCTATTTTTCCAGCTTCTGAACACACTTTTCTTCTCTGTTTTGTGACTTGTAAATAGAACCAGTTGTGCCTGTCTTGTTTGAATTTGGGGTGGGGGAGCCGGGGGGACTGCGAGAAAAGAGCTCTGTTGATGAATGAGAGAAAGCTGTGTTAGTGAACTGAGATACTAACAAATCGAGGGAAGATAAAGGGCTGTATTTAAAACCCAGTTTTTACAAATAATTATTTTTAACTCAACAAGAGGACTTGTGTCTTGAAAGTCTTTTAAATTCACACCGAGGTCAGACAACAAAATCTCATTTCAATTTCCTACTTTAGCCAAGTTCTACCCAGAACAAAAATTACAATTCTTCTGTTAGAAAATTAAAAGAGCATAAAAAGAACAAAAGAATCTTGCAATTTGGTTTACCTGTTTGATTTTTTTCTTTTTTGCATACCCTTCGGATTCACCCCAAAAATATGATCTCTAGCTAGGTCCTTTAAGAATGATAGGGAGACATCGAAGTTACCAACCTAACTTCCGAAACCACAGGTGAATTCTTTTTTTTTTTTTTTT